GCAATACCGCTTCGACCTTCTTCAGCAGCCTGTACGGCGGTCTCACCGATTTTTTGTTCTAATCCTCGAAATGTCCGAGAATTTAGATATTCTCCAGCAGCGCTATTCAGCACCGTAGAAATTGATGTGTGTTGATTACGAAGTGTTAAATCAGTAACATTATTTGTGGCATCGTCTATGAATTAGATAAGATTTAGATTTAAAGTTGATAAAATCATAAACAATAAACTTCACAAATCACCTTGTGATGAATCTTTGAGGGCGTATCTCCTACTTTGTTTGAACTTGCCTGTGACCAAAGAAAAATGAGGTTCATCCTCACTTTCGGGCTGAAAGTCGGCTTCGTCAATGGTTGCATCTAATAATAATAATAATAATAATAATAAATATAGAGTATTGATGAATATTGTTTCATTTCAGCTACTTACCAGATAGTAATTGCTGAAAATCTGTAATATATTCTCCGGTCCATTGTTTCGACCTAAGTCAAAAATATCTCAAAAATTGATAAAACTTTCGGATCTCAAGGAAAATTAACTTACGGATTCAATGCAATTTCTAATTCAAAAGGTGTAACAATTGGACGATAGAATTCCTGAAATATGATATTTTAAATTTATAAAATTACATACTTTCTGATAATGCAATCAAATTTATGAATGAAAACCTTCGAATCAAGCAAACAATTTTCTGGACAAGATACGAGAACGAAGCAATCAATTTCCATAAAATTTGCCATCTTTGCTACATTGAGTTTGCCCATCACGAACGTATAAGGCTTTTTTCCCGCACGAATAATTAGCTTTTTGAGATGTGAGATTATTTCCAAATAATTTGCTAATGAAAGGTTTCAATTTGTGTTAATTTGGAGTATAAAAATAGAAAGACTATATTAAGATAATATAGAACACTTTACCTACACCTAAGGTACCCACTACTATGCCAATAACATCTGCATCTTTAGCTTTTTGAACCATGTAAAAGCTGAATATAGATGAATTTTTATCAAGTTAACAAACTATTAAAATTAAGTGAGGACAGTATGAAAAAACTTACCGTCTCATTAAAGATTGATTTTTTGGTAATGTCTCTTGGCGCCCTATTCGCGTTTCAGGATCGTATGAATAAACCTTACAACATAAAATCCTAAATTATGAGATAACATATATATTTTATATGTGAGTGTAAAAGTTACCACGTACCTTACACTTATTATACGTCAATAAGACGTTTACTAGTGTTGCACTTTCTCCTCCAATATAAAAAATTGTGTAGGATTCAATGTTCATTCCCTCAAAAAGTTTATAATATCTTCCGTTGAGCAGAGGACTATTCATATCTACCCAATAGTTAAGGAATGAATAATGAAAATCAACAATTGGCATGGTTATCTTTCTTCCCTCAAATTTACCTTTTAGTCCTTGTGATATATTACAATCCGTCTTGACTAAAGATTGAATAACATTTGTGTATTTCAAGTCTGTTCGCACTTTATGTACGAATTTATCTAATAAAGAAAAGTTGAAACAATGCATTTAATTTAAGAAACTAAAGATCAATGAACAAAACGACAAATACTTACCGATACAATAAGAATATACTACATCATACATGATAATTAAATTCATAGTGTTATCTTGACCAAACAAACTATCGAATGCTTCTAAGCAATGATCAATATCTATGGGGTGTTTACCAAACACGTATAGGACAGGCAAGCGAGAAGTACTGTGCCAAATTAAGAAAAATGGTTTGGCACGTCAAGAGATAAATCAAGACAAAATTTGTCGCTAAAATGAGATTCTACCTGAACAGTCGCGTTCTGATTGGACGAAATTATTCAATTGTAATTATTTTTTTTTCAAACTTTTGACGAAGATGTTTTGGCAATCATCTAAAAATTGATAAAATTTTTATTTTATTTTAATTATACATCCATATAGAATCGGAATAAAAAAAAATTCATCGATTTTAGATAAGTGATTATCAAGGTATCTTTGCTCAAAGTTCGGAAAAAACTTAATCGCAATTTGTTTTGGTAGTTATCCGAGCTTTTTCTAAACTTTGAGCGAAAATATCTCGACAACCACCTATCTAAATCGATTGAATTTCTTTTATTCTAATTCTATATGAATGTATAATGAAATTAAAAAAAATTTCATCGATTTTAAATGGTTGGCTGCCAAAATATCTTCGTTAAAAATCAATTACAATTTAATAATTTCGTCCAATCAGAATGTGATTGTTCAAGTAGAATCTCATTTTAACGACAAATTTTGTCGCCACGACTAGGGTACTATTGTTTCTTACGGGCTTAAACAAGAACGGCCGTAATGAATAATGCATTCAGCACTAGCGTGTTGAGCTGCAACTTCGTCAACACAACAGCTATAATGGAATAAAGCAATATCAATAAAAAATGTATATTTTTGAAGATAAAAAGACTGAAAAAATCATTTACCTGCCATAAGAAGTGTCAGCCAGAACAAAGATCTTTTTCTGAGTTCGATCGCGCAATACTCTCGTGACTTCAGCTGAATCAGCTAGTAGCTCGTCCGGAAATTGAAGAGCAATCTATAAATTCTGATGGTTAGCCTTTATTTACTACTAGAATCACGCATAACTTACTTTTTCATAACCTCCACTAATAATCATTTCCACAGTACGCTCGATTTCATAAATATGTTCCAATTCCTGATTTGATTTCGCCAGTTTTTCGCTACGAACTTCAATTGTTCGCGCTATGACGGCACTACCGTCATTGGTAAAATCATTAGGTCCCTGGAGAGAAGACATACAGATAATGAAAAGATTATCGTTATGAGACTTGTATCAGGCGTTTTTTTTATGTGGCACTAAATCTGCGGCCTCTTATTGGATAATGTTATCGGATAAATATCTTGTCTTTTAAAAAAAATCAGATTTTCCTCTTCGACGGTCATAATTTTTGCAATGGCTCCCAAAAAACCTGGCAAGTGGCATTTGATTAAGAAACTCGCTACGGCTAGCCTTGTACATATTTCGAAGAGGAGATGGATGATTCATTTATACG